ATTGTAAAGCGCTTTGGGTGTACAGCAATACACAATAAAGTGCTATATAAATGCATCATTCATTCATTCATTCATTCATCCATCGTCCACCCATCCATCCAACCATCCATCCATCATTTGTTCTATCGTTCCTTCCATCCATCCATTCAATTTTCCCTTCTTTTTTGTTCTCAAAGCAATCCTTTTATAAGCCAACATTCTGTGTTTATGACAAATTTTGCTTGTATTGTAAAGTAGAACTTTTCAATTCATTTTAATCTGCTTAAAATAAACTCAAGCTGCAGTTTCTCTTTTCTACCTCAGTACAAATTCAATTCAAACTCAGGAATTGAACTGGAGTTTGAAAGCCATTCTCAATGAATGATGCACCCTCGTGCTCTGGTGTGAGAATCTTTAGTGAGTTTCAACAAATTAGTGCTCAGGTATAAACTGCCGTAGAGAAATAGACGGAGAGATTTTCAGCTTTATTCTGCTAGCGTCCACATCTTGAGATCAGGATGATGATGATATGTGGAGTGATTGATCCTGAACTGTTTGTTATGGAAATCTCTGTGTGTGTGTGTGTTGAAGCCAGAGGAAGCATATGTCTGTATCTCAGGGCTGATTATATATTTATTGTATCGTTCTATAAACGGTTCCACTGCAGTGAAGCTTGAACTCTAGCCAGGACGGTTCCTGCAGGATTGTGCTGTGCTCAAACTCTCTCGTCGCAGGAGGGAGAGATCAGCAGCTGCTGCTTCACTCAGACCTTCAGTGTTTGTGCTGTAATGGGTTTGTTACTCTGTGGGGCAAAATCATTAAACAGTCATGCTACTTTTGCATGTTATTTCAGCATAAAAATGTACACCTTATTCTCAAACCACCCACATTTCTGTTTAATCTGTGTCATGCATATTTAAATCCCTCATTTCTATGTAAATCAGAGTTACATGGATTGTGCCTTATTTACTAAAGTCAGCGGATTTGACTTTGTGCTGTTCCAGCGGTTAAGGGGTTATGCAGTGGTTTATGGTTAGTACAGTGGTTAGTATTTACTCAGAGTGTGGTTTATGGTTAGTACAGTGGTTAGTATTTACTCAGAGTGTGGGTTATGGTTAGTACAGTGGTTAGTATTTACTGCAGTGTTAAGTGTAGTATGTTGTTCAGTATCTCTAACTCCTTTTAAAATCACTGTTATTGAAGCAGGACAATATGAAACTAGAACCCTAATCTGTTTTATTTTGACTATTATTTATATATTATTTTATATGTGTATAGTATTTATTGATATCTTGGAATTAGCTTTTATTTTTATATTTTCAGGTTTCATTTTAGTTTTAGTAACTTCTTGTGCTTTTGTAATTTTTATTAGCTTTTATATTTAACAATTTTGTTGTAGCTTTCAAATTTTTCTTTAAAAAAATGTCTTTAGTTTTTATTAAGTTATATTTCATCTTTTTTTTTTCTGTTAATGTTTATTTTATTTCAAGTAACAAAGATGTTTACAATTTTTTTTAGTAATTTTAGTACTTCAACTAGTACTTCAGTTAGTTGCCAAGGCAACATTTACAATTTAACATTTTCATTTCATTTCAACTTGATGTACAGTACTAAAACTGAAAAAAAAAAAAGTATAAAAACTATATGGACAACATGAACAACCTAATAAATATGACAAAAACACACAACAAAATTACTAAAACTTTATTTAAATATTTAAAAAAAAAATTAATTCAAAATATTTGTAAAAACTTTAATAGGATCTCAATGAGACTTAACGGTGAAAAGTTTTTTACGTGCAAGTTTTTCATCTAATATTTATATTTTATTTTATTTCAGCTTTATTTAAATTAACAAAAAAAATATTACAGGCTTTTGGAGGTGAAGAGAATTGGAAATTTACTTATTTACAAGGTTGCCATATAGAGACCTCTAAAAGATGCACGTGTGTGTGTGTAGATGTGAACACCTGAAACATGAAAGCAAAACTGTATGGTATACAAGTATGTGTGCATCTGCTGGATGATTGTGCAAAGGGCCGGGTCACAGTTCTGTGATCGCCATAGAAACAAGGAAGTTTCAGAGTGATGAGATGGAGTACAGAAGTGTACAATCTCTCTCTCTCTCACACACACACACACACACACACACACACGGCCCAATCTTGCAGCACACTGCATTATTTAAGCAGAACTCTCCATCTCTGCATAATACATCTATACAGCTGGGACTGAGGCGAGGAAACACACACATGCATTTTTGTAAACATACACACACTTCTTCATAATGAACTTTCCGTTCACACCCGAAATTCTCTATTGCCTTCATCAGAGCGTGTGAACAAGCAGAACAAGCAGTGTGTGAATTCGATATCTCTGTCCTGTTACGTAACGGGCCGCGGGCTCTGATGAGCATAAGCTTTGCAGCATCCTGTGAAATAAGTTTGCTGAAGTACTAAAATGACTCAAATTAAAACTGAAAGAAAAAATAAATAAAGCTGGAAATGTATATTATGTAAAAAAACAAAAATGAAAACAAATGTTTTGTAATTTTTATTAGTTAAAAAAAAAAATTATATTAATGTGTTTTATTTACATAACAAAATTGCTAAAACTTAAATACATTAAAGCTAAATATAAATATTCAGAAAAAAACTAATAAAAATGACAAAAAAACAACAAAATTTCTAACACTCAAACTTAAATTAAAATAAAAATGTTTTTTTAGTTGTCTATATTTTTTTATACATTTTCATTTCATTTTTTATACATTTGTATTTTATTGTTATTTTAGTTAAACTAAATGAAAATGAGATGTTGAAACTATCTAAAATAAAATAAGTTTGTTTTTTTACATTTGATTTTGTTTCAGTTCATGTTTATTTTCAAATAACAAAAATGTTTTTGTTTTTACTTTAACTATAATAACCCTGCTTTCATTTATTTAAGCTTTTTTTTAATTTTAGTACTTCAACTTCAAACTTATTTCAGTTAGTTGCCAAGGCAGCATTTCTAATTGTCATTTAGTTTAATTTGATATACTAAAAAAACAAACGAAAGCAGAAATACAAATGAATAAATCTGTGCAGACAACAAAACAGCCTGATAAATATGACAAAAACACACAACAAAACTTTTTATTTTTCTTTACATAAAATTGCTAAAACTTAAATAAAAATACGTTAAAGCTAAATAGGAAAATTTATAAAAGAAATATTAAACACTAATAAAAATGGCAAAAGAGCATAACAGAATTACTCAAACTTAAATACAAAAACTGAAATGATAAAAAATGTATAAAAGCTAAATAAAACATTTGGAAACTATACTAGTATATAAATAATACTAAAACAACACTACAGAATGTTGTGTGGATGCTCAGGGTCACTCGCGCAGGGATACATTCTCTGTTGCTAGGTGTTGTGGGATTTTTCAGCTGTTTTCTGGTCCAGCAGGTGAAAACGGTGCATCTGGTCACTTAAATAACATGATTTGAGCAATCCTTCATGTCTGGAGGACAAACGCTGCAGGAGTTACACGCTGAAATATAATGCTTTCTCCTAGCAAATGTAGATTCATTGCATATTCTAGAATACTTGTTCAAGAATTCCTCCATAGCAACCAAATCCTAATAAACGAACAGCCTCTCTCCCTCTCCTCGAGCGATGTGATGTGATGAGATCTAGTGTGTGTCTGTGTGTGTGTCTGTCTGTGTGTGTGTGTGTGTGTGTGTTTGAAACATACGACATTAAAATCCGATATGCTTTGTTGTTTTTCTTGAAAACCATGTAAACATATTCATGCGAGTGCGTCTTCATGGCAGCACAAAAACGTCGGGCTTATTGCATTAATATTAATTCCCTACCAATAAATTGAATTTGTAATATGATATGCATATTTGCTTTTCAATTTCAGCGCTTCACTTTTTTCTGTGTGTGTGTTTCAGGTGATGGAGCTCAAAGGTCAGATGCTTCACCTCCCAGAATCCAACTCCATCATGTTTCTGGGCTCGCCGCGTGTTGATAGGCTGGAGGAGCTCATGGGGCGGGGCTTACATCTGTCTGACATCCCTATTCATGACGCCACACGTGATGTCATTCTGGTGGGTGTGTCAATGAAACATCATTAAGCTTTCAATGAGTTTACCGTAAACAGCATAGCGTTTGGCTAATGTTTGGCTCATATGATGCTGCTAAAAAGAACATTATGTTGTGTATTTGGTGTAATGAAATGTGTTTATCCAGTTTAAGGTTATTACTTATTGAACATTGGTGTATTTAATAGATATTGCTATTGTTGTTGTTTTGGCTTTATATCATACTTTATATCAAAAGCCACCTCTCGTCACTTATTTCTTTATTATGAGAAGGATATTTCTGGTTCTGGATGTCAGTGTTGTTGTTGTAAACTACACTGAAAAAAAATCGGTGAAACAACTTTCACGTAGAAATTGCTACTAAATTTTACAATTCATTTCAAAGAAACAGTAAGCAACACACTAAATTAAATGCGAAATTTGGAAGTAGAAAGGCTGAAATAGTATTTTCTTGTAAAACATATTTTCTTCCAAAGCATGCTCCAATATATTTTATTTACAACTTTGAAAAATAATTTTTTAAAGTGTAAAACTACAATTAAAATTGTATTTGATAATTGTAATAAAGCTGAAATAAAATTAGAAAAAAATTATTAGATAAAAATCTTTAACTTAAAAATTGCTTTGTCAAAGAAATAAAGTAAAATAAGTTGAAGTACTAAAATGACTAAAAATAAAAATAAATAAAAAGAAAAGAAAGCTTATTATAAATATAAAAAAATAACGTTTTAATGTTTAGTTTTTGTTTTTATATTTGTATTTAACTTTAATATATTTTATTTGCTAAATTGCAAAATTACTAAAATTAAAACTGAAATATAAAATAAATTAAACCTATATTTCTATTTAGCTTTAATGTATTTTATATTTCAGCTTTAATTTTAGAAATGTACTTATGTTTTTTCATATTATACATTTTTATTTATATAACAAAATTACTAGAACTTAAACTGAAATTATAAAAAAATGTTTCGTCATTTAATTAGTTAATTTTTTTAATATTTATATCTAGCTTTAATATAGTTTTATTTACTTAACAGAATTACTAAAACTAAAAGTGAAATAAAAATAAATTAAAGCTAAATATAAATGTTTTAAAAAATCATAAAAAGAGCATAACAAAAGAAAAGAGCATAACAAAATCACTAAAACCTAAGCTAAAATTTAAATGCAAACTGAAAATATGAAAATAAATGCTAATTAAAATATTAATAAGTACTCTAATAGTATATAAATAATACTAAAATAACACTACTGGACGTTACCTGCCATAATTCTTATCCAATCATTTCTGTAGGTTGGAGAACAGGCCAAAGCTCAGGACGGACTGAAGAAGCGCATGGATAAACTCAAAGCCACCCTGGAGAAAACCCATCAGGCTTTAGAGGAGGAGAAGCGCAGAACAGTCGACCTGCTCTACTCCATTTTTCCCGGCGATGTGGCTCAGAGACTGTGGCAGGGCCTTCCGGTTCAAGCCAAGAAGTTTGATGACGTCACCATGCTGTTCTCTGACATCGTGGGCTTCACGGCCGTGTGCGCGCAGTGCACACCAATGCAGGTCATCAGCATGCTGAACGAGCTCTACACGCGCTTTGACTACCAGTGCGGAATACTGGACGTCTATAAGGTACGTCTGTCTCTTTTATCACACTCCATCCATAACTTTAATCAAGACCATCTTAGCAACCACCCTGAAACACTAGTATCCTCCTAGCAACCACCCAGGACACCCTAGCAACCACATAGCAGCCAACTTCCTAGAAACCACCTTGAACATCTAAGCCAAAACATAGAAATCACCTAGTAGCACCTTACCAACTGCATAGAAACCACCTAGTAACATCTTAGCAACTGCACTGCAACACTCTATCAACTGCATAGCCACCCAGAACATGCTAGCAATCACATAGAAACCAACTTTCTAGAAACCACCCTGAACGCTTTAGAAACCACATAGTAACACCTTAGCAACTACACATAAACCACATAGCAACCTCCTAGAACACCATAGCATAGAAACCACCTAGTAACACCTTAACAACTGCACAGAAACCACCTAGAAATCTCCTAGAACACCCTATCATAGAAACCACCTAGACACACCGTAGCAACTGCATAGCAACATCCTAAAAACTGAATAGTAACCTCCTAGAAAACACCCTAGCAAACAAATAGAAACCACCTAGTAACACCTTAGCAACTACATAGCAACACCTTAGCAACTGAATAGTAACCTCTTAGAAACCACCCTGAACACCCTAGCAAACACATAGAAACCACCTAGTAACACCGTAGCAACTGCATAGCAACCTCCTAAAAACTGAATAGTAACCTCCTAGAAAACACCCTAGCAAACAAATAGAAACCACCTAGTAACACCTTAGCAACTACATAGTAACACCTTAGCAACTGAATAGTAACCTCCTAGAAAACACCCTGAACACCCTAGCAAACACATAGAAACCACCAAGTAACACCTTACCAATGAAAATATAACCTGTTTTGCCAGATGGATTTAAACCGTCTGTCTGTTAGCTTTTGTTCGTCGTGCCCTGCCCGGTTTAATGTTTCTCGCAGCGAGACACACGTGTGTGGGGTTGTGTTAACAGCTCCATCGACAGCACTGGACTCACTGTAGCGACGGAGTGAGAGCGTGGAATCTGGTCGCCAGGGAGACGGCGGAACACTCCAAGTGCTTGCAGCTAATTGATTGTTAGATTGTTGCTGTTTTCTCCCATTTAGAGGGAGTCAACGAGCGAATGGCTGCGTCTGAGAGGCTCGTGTGTGTTATGTGTGTGTGTTTAGAAGCGTCTCTAAGCATGTTGTGTCACGTCTATATAGTAACAAATGCAGCAATGATTGTGCTTGTTTATTTAAACTGAATGATTTTGGAATATGATTCTGCAAATGATCTGTAAATGAAAAGTGTGTGTGTGTGTGAACTAAAACCACAAAAAAAATTTAATTGAAACAAAATAAACATTCATTGAATTAAAATATAAAAACTTATTTTATTTCAGCTACACTGAAAAAAATTGGTGTAGGGTTTACTGTGAAAGAATTTCCACTCAGACATTGCTAGTAAACTTCACAAATAATAGAACACATTTTTACATTAAATTTAAATACTAACATAACTAAAACTAAATAAATAAAAACTAATTAATAAAAATGAGTAAAAAAGATATAGACATTAAAAAAAAAAAAAAACTAATAAAAATTACAATAACAAATTTTTTTTAAATAAAATGAAAATATGAAAATAAAATCTACTTCAAAATAACTAAAACTAAATAAATTAAAATTAAGTAATAAAAATGATGCATACAAATTACATAGACATATAAAAATTAAAGCTAATAAAAATGATAAACATTAAAATTAAAGTGAAAACAGGAAATATAAAAACTACATTTAATTAAACATAAAATAACTAAACTAAATAATATAAACAAATAAAACTATATAGACATATTAAAAAGTAGTAAAAATGACGGACAACAAAATGACTAAACCTTTAAAATTACATTATTCCTAAGAGATGCTGTTGTAGTCTAGTCTGTTGTGTGATTGACAGCACTGTCAGCGTGACAACAAGGCCATGAATAATATCAGGGTCGTTGCCGTGGGCGACCATGCATCATCATTAAATGTGAGTGTGTGTATATTTGTGGACTCTCCGTGACATGAGAGCGGCAATAATAAGATGCCCTTTCCATAACATCGCTGTTTATGAGCGGTTCGGTTCAGATCACGTAATAGGCCTCTGTGTGTGTGATCACCACCTCTGTGCTACTTACAGCTGTGTGTGTGATTCTCATGTCGAAAGCCACGATTAAGTCACTAAAGGGATATTTCACCCAAAAATGAAAAATTGCTGAACATTTACTCATCCTCAAGTCATCCAACATGTAGATGAGTTTGTTTCTTCATCAGATTTGGAGAAATTGTTCACCAATGGATGCTCTGCAGTGAATGGGTGCCGTCACAGGGTTCCCACGCTTCTTGAAAGTACTTGAAAGTACTTGAATTTCAGACATATGGATTCAAGGCCTGGAAAGTACTTGAAAACAAACATAGGTCCTTGAAAGTGCTTGAATTAAATTTGAAATAAATTTAGTTTATGGCGCTATTTCAAAAATTGTCCTATATGTTCTGTCAAAGAAGAAACGGCACTAATGATTGGGGGTGGAGATCGGGTAACGCGAAAAAAAACTTAGCGTGTGTGTTGATGATGCCTAGAGCCCTGAGGGGGACAGTTTTCTTAAGTCTGCTCCCTCTGAATTTCTGACCATTACCGCCCGCTCCCACAATGTGTGTGTCCCGCTCCCGCGAACATTCTAATATTGTATAAACAGGGATTAAAGTTTTCTGTCGCTACGACGGATTTCCGTCAATTGGAAAAAATGAGGGGAGAAGAAACACGTAGCGCATTGTTGTTGTTGTACCAGAAATCACCCCCGCCACGGCTGCAGCTTCTCACTTACAACATAACGCCGCTCGCATCATTCACAGTCGGGTTATTAGCAGAGAACACAGAGCAGGACTTGAATTTCGGCGCGGGATTGCGGCTATTAATAATAATTCTACTCATTCCTGCAGGTTCCGCGCTTATAACGTGATGACAGATGACGGAATTTATCATTTGCACGTGCTTTTGAGTCTTGAGTAGTAACCTCCTAGAAACCACCCTGAACACCCAAGCAAACACATAGAAACCACCTAGTAACACCTTAGCAACTGCATAGCAACCTCCTAGAAACAACCCTATAACCAAACTTAATAAACCAACTTCCCAAAAACCACTCCAAACACCTTAGCAACTACATAGAAACCACCTAGCAACACTTTAGCAACTAAAACACTGAAAACACCTTAGCAGCTACATAGAACCCACCCAGTAACACCTTAGCAACCGCATAACAACACCATATTTTAGATTAAGTCTATTTTAGGTATTAGTATTTTTGCTTTGGTGAAATATGACCGTGACATGTTCTTGACTTGTTTAAATTTACAGCACTATTCCGCGCTTATAACGTGATGACAGATGACGGAATTTATCATTTGCACGTGCTTTTGAGTCTTGAGGATTCACTCGCGCGCTCTCATTTTCTGTGCGCTCACAGATCGCGATAAGGAGAGTGACATCTTTTAATAATTATTAAGGGAGTTTGCAAATGTGATATTGATTTAATACAAAGTGAGTGTATGCCAATAAATTGTCATTATAAATGGCGGCCCTCCATTACAGCAAATAAAAGTGTGTGTGTGTGTGTGTGTGTTTGTGTGTGTGTGCGAACTGCTGATGCCAGCTCTGATACACACATACAGACACTCTCAAGGTTTGTGTTTTCTGTAGCCTGTATGTAAATGCGGTCTGCTGTTGTGATTCCTGTGCTGGCATCAGTGCGTCTCCAGAGAGAGACAGATTCATATTCATGTGTCTCTCACCTGCTTTGTGTTAAGAGTTATTCATCAGAGAGCGTTTATATTCTGACAGCAGTTGCCTGTGAGCGTCAAGAGGCTGATGTGTGTGTGTGTGTGTGTGTGTGACAGGGTAAATCTCACAAAGATACATCTGGGTCGCATTTCACCCCAAAATCAAAAGAAAGAAATATATATTTTGCATAAAACATGATGATATAATGATATCATCAGATATTTTAAAAATAAGGTAGGTATATGGCATTCTGGATGGATGCTTACAGGCAGAAGAGCCCTAAAAGACAGTAAACCCTCTCTTCTCCACAGATTGAGACTATCGGTGATGCGTACTGCGTGGCAGGCGGGCTTCACAGAGCGTTTATATTCTGACAGCAGCTGCCTGTGAGCGTCAAGAGGCTGATGTGTGTGTGTGTGTGTGTGTGTGTGTGTGTGTGACAGGGTAAATCTCACAAAGATACATCTGGGTCGCATTTCACCCCAAAATCAAAAGAAAGAAATATATATTTTGCATAAAACATGATGATATAATGATATCATCAGATATTTTAAAAATAAGGTGTTAATATGGCATTCTGGATGGATGCTTACAGGCAGAAGAGCCCTAAAAGACAGTAAACCCTCTCTTCTCCACAGATTGAGACTATCGGTGATGCGTACTGCGTGGCAGGCGGGCTTCACAGGAAGATTGACAGCCACGCTAAGCCAATCGCGCTCATGGCCCTGAAGATGATCGAGCTGTCAGAAGAAGTGCTGACGCCCGATGGGAAGCCGATCAAGGTGAATTAGAGGTTATATTTGGAACCAGTGTAATATAATAGCATACAATTTTTAGTTTCCAGTCGGACTTGTAACCCGAAGGTTGCGGG